TAAATGGGACATCTGGCAAGTTTCAGCTTAGATTTGGGAAAGATTAAGTTATGCTTTAAGCCAAGGACAAGTTAGAGTTAGGTTAACCTAATAAAAGGCGATATTAGAGTTGGTTCGAGTTAGATTACAGTTAGTTTAGGGATATTTTACGTTAGGGTCAGGTTAAGGAATGATTAGGGTTATTGTAAGGGTTAGAAGACCTAAATAATTACATGCATAGAATGTAGTTAAATTTCTCTGTTGATATAAGAATAGAACTTCTGCACTGTGGTATAACTCCATTGCAAATAAAATTTATTTTGATAACGTCTCACGGTGTTATACAGTAATATTTGCTGATGACCACATTCTGAGCACGATTTATTGCTCAGTAAATATTATTGTGTAACACCATGAGACTTTATCAAAATTTTACCCACAACTGAGACCTATTTCTATCACATGTGAGAGGAAGTTATCCTCTGTAACACTTTGCTACAGTTTTTATGAATTTTTTTTTCATAAATATATGTGTAATCCATACACAAAAATGTCTCCTTCACGTGATTGGTGCGTTCGAGGTCATTTGCTGATTGGTAGTTAGTGGTGCTTAAAGTTTAACTTTGCCGGTTGATCATATATGCCTATACACCACTTTAGTGTGTGTGGATGATAATGATATATACACTATTCAAATGAATTATGAATTTTTCGATAGATGGCAATTTCCCTAAAGTCATTTATTGGCTCTTTGATTTCTAAACAAGACAAGTAGTAAGACTGTCTGGTCAGAATACACAGCAGAATACGGTCTCAAACGTTTTCTAAACTATTGTTGGTATTGAGAATGCTGTCATCAAATACGCTTGACTAACTCCTAAATAAGACACAGACTAGCTATTGGATTCCTCTAGTGGTTGTTAGCACACAAATGTTTTGTAGGAAACTGATTAAATAATGTGTACTTCCAGCAAACGCTTTCGGATGGTGATAAAAGATTTCACGTATGATGGTGACAGATTAGTCTGTATCATTGTACGCAGCATATTATACAAATTGCGATAACCATTATCAAAATGGATTAGAATCCTTTACCAAAGTATCAGAGAAATTCTTATACTCCATAGAGGTTAAAGTATAGGAGAAACTGATATCGTAATTCATCTTACAATGTAATTTTTATCTCTATACTTCTGCAGGTTCTATTTCATGCCTTAAAATACTCATTAACGTGAGACCCTTTTTTCAAATTCCTTTACGTTACCAGTGGAACATAGGGCTTCAAGGTAGAGCTTTGAAGTCTCCGTAGCAGTGGTATTTATTTTTATGGGATTGGGTTGCTATCTTCATGTCCAACCACCTTCCCTTTTTACCAGTCTTATTACTGGCTTAGAGAGGCAAAGGAGTGTGTGAGATATGGAATTCTTAAAAAGGTTGAATTATATCACTTAAAAGTCTTTATTCTACATCGAATTTTACACAGTTCATATTCCGTTTGAATAGAAAATAATAAGACGATATATCGATTGATTTTTATAATGGCTACAGTTTTATTTTAACTTTGATTGGGTCAAATATTCTCTCTGTTATAAACTTGATCCCACGACACCGTCGATTGACATCAGAACGTTCTAGTCGTAAGTAATGTAATCATCAGGATACTATGTGCTTTAAATGTATCTATACTGATTCAGTGTACTTCTACAAGTTGTGGATGCGGGTAAAAAAACGCCTTGAATGATAATTTACATAAGACGAGAATCATCGTCCTACTAACAACTTAAATAAGTAGTATGTCTGTATAAAACAAATATTTGTGGCACTAGACTAAAATCACAATTCCTGCTGGTAAAATTTAGCATGTGAATTAGAAAAGGGATATCACACAGAATATATAATTCAGTAGTTATTGGGTGATAGTAACTAACAGTGTTATCGTGCTCTGTCAGCTGGGTGGACTAATTGCGAAGCCTTCGTTGCCCTTGTAGTCCACATCTTCAGCTGTAACTTCAGAGAAAAAAGTGAATTTGAAACTTATGCGTGAATGAAATAATCCTGATGTCACTGGCTGTCCTCGAATTTTTTGTCACTGTATTAACCCACAATGACATTGAATGCTTCCTTGATCTTTCGAACGTTTAACCTAAGGGTGATAATTCCAGACTATTAGTATATACGTAACTCTACATTAATTTGTTTATTGGATATATCACACAGTGAAACAATATTATTTAATGAGTGACGCTTCGAACACAATTTATTGTTCATAGTAGTATGAATTGGGACTATGTAAATCCAAAAACTGATTCCTGTAGTTTTCGTTCTTCATTATTTTTCCTAAAGATAGTAGAATTTTCCAGGTATCCCAGATAGGTGTTGAGCCATTCCTACTTCATGTGTTCTCAGCTGATTGGATAAATAAATGTTCAGTTAAGCGGTTGAAGGTGATCGGCAGGAAGCCATCGATATAGGTTTTTTTCTTGCCTTTCATCAGCAAGGCCTATTGAAGGAACCCATATCTACTCTGAGATTCTGACCCGCGTCACCCAGTTTTGTAGTCAGAGACGTCATTATTTCAGTTATCAATTTCTCCCTTCACTCTATTATATTAGATTTTAGGAGTCACATTTTCCCATCTTAGTGTTTGGTGATACAGCTGAGCTGTTTTCTAGATTTCTTATCTTATTCGAGTCCACCACGTGTTTGTGCTTAGCTAATCCAATTGACCGCAACCTACTACTTTGGCCTCACAATCACTGCAGGGTATTAGATTAACTAAATTATTTTATTTAATGGGATCCACAAGATCTTTTCAACCAACACATTTTGTTTCTAATTAAGTTGGAATGCCACTTTTATTCACATGAATATGAACAATGAGTCGTGTTCGAAACGTCATCCAGTAAATAATACCTTTTCGCTGTATAATATATCCAATAAGCAAATTAATATGGAATTTCTAGACTCTTGTTCTGAAAGCGATAGTAGTAGAACTACAATTTTTCCAGTAATTACACGAATGCATATTAAAATCTTCCGTATGTTACCATATGAATTTGATTGTTAGTGTGCATTAAGGATCAAAAAGAAGTTGTAAAATGTTTGAAGCTGAGAAAAGAAATTGGGACAAATGTAAACGGACAATACCTGACTGCTTACACGAGAGTTAATATCTTCTCCTTATGCTTAGATAAAGAATGATTTTATGTAAAAACAGAAGGATTCCCTCTGGAGAGCCTCCACATAGTTTTTTTTGAAGAGTTGGGATTTCAGTTACTACGGGTGCGTTTTGGTCAACTACGTATAGTTGAATCGGAATATGTAAATCTAAAGAATAGAAAAACTGAAAAAAAACCTGGTTTGCTGGTCATCAATCTAATTGGTTATATATCTCTTTCTGCTAGCAGTACACTCCACTTTAAGTGCTCCAACACAATGTAAGCAAACTACAATAACAAAGTTTTTAACTTTTCAACTGTGAAAAATGCCCATTACAATTTTCAAAAGAATGGTTACTGAACAAAGAATGCTCTTTTCGATAACTTCATCATTAGGTTCTACAGTAATATATACATAATAGCAAATGAATTAGTGTTAATAACAACATATATAACTGTAAAATTTGATGATTATGTTATCGAAAAGAGTACTCTTTGTTCAGTAACCATTCTTTCCAACTATTCATTCGACCTTACGGATATGGCAGGAGATATGGGTGCGACGGTTTAGTATGACAAGTTGACTAACTGCTACATGGAAGGTGGATTATTACACCGTGATACTAGTTTGTAATTGGCGCCAATCGTCAGTTATGTTTAAGAGTCTAATGATTTCATAAGTCAATGAAAAATCAGATGCCACTGCAAATCAACAACTGATACACTGAGAGCTGTGAAAAACATTGCAACCTTGCAGCCGAATTTGGAAAGCAACTGGTACCATTATTTACATTCAAATGAATGATTATCCTATTCCTGATGCAGAGAAAAAATATATAAACAGTACGAACCAGTACTCGCTTAGACGTACATCCGAACTCATTTTTATTATTGTTCCCTTGGGTTCCTAGTGGAACATAGGGCTTCAACTGCACGTCTCCACTTGCTTATGTCTTCTCCCCGCTTCCCTTTCGGGTTCCACTCGAGGGCCTGACGCGCGATGTCACCCAGCGAGTGTCCAATCCATCTACACTTTCTCCTGCATATTTGTTGGGCGATTGGTTCCTGTTTTGTTTGTTCCCATAGTTTCTTGTTGGTGATTCTTTCCGATCATCTGGTCTTCAGTATAGAGCGAAGACAGTTGTTGACAAAGGTCTGCAACAGGCTGTTGGAAATATTCTTTGTGACCTTCCAAGTTTCTGATCCGTATAGAAGAACTGACTGACTTGACGTTTGTATTGAAAATCAAAATTTTGTTGTTGATGCAGGCTGAGTGACGAAGATTTCCAGATTGGTTTCAGGTTGATGAATGTGTTTCTCGCCTTCCCGATTCTTGATTTGACATCCTCCTGTAGTTGAGACAATGCTCCCTAGATAAGTGAATGAATTAACCTCTTTCAAATCCCTCTCGTTGATGGTGATTCGAGCTGGATGTTGCTGCTGTTGTTGTTGTTGGTTGGTTATTTTCATAACTTCCGTCTTGTCTATGTTCACCTGGAGTCCAGTCTTTGCTGCTTCTTCGACCAGTTTGTCGGTTTTCGCTTGTAAGTCTTCGATTTTGTGTGAAATCAAACATAAATCATCCGCGAAATCCAGGTCCTTACATAATGAGTTCGGGAACTCATCATGTACGGACTAGTTATATCAATTTTTTACTGAATTTATATATGGAACAGGGTTCAAACCTCCAACCAGGGAATACACGTAGTGTTTAGAGCACACAATAAACATTTGGTATTCATCAACTAATGAATAAAAGAGCTTATAAAGCATGATGTCATATACTACTGATTGGTTAACATGAGTAGTTGGGTAACACTCACATCAAGTGCATAGTGCTTGTATACAAATTATAAAAGTAACCACAGTTCACAGATAGTTGAGATTAACGTGTTATGAAAAAAATCAAGAATCATCCACCCTTTTTGTGTAAACACACTTCAAAACTATAATAAAACGCACAAACTCTATAAGCAGCAAGTTTATACACACACACTAGAGGATTGCATACCACCACCACCTCACCAAATCGGCCCGCTTATCGGTTATATTTCATGAGATAGTAGATAGGCATAGTATTCTGCAAAAAAAAAACATTTATCAGAATGTTCGTTGACTAAAAACAGTTACAATAACAGTGGGAATCAAGTCCTCTACAGAGTAATGATAAATATAAACGAATAAGAAGATTAATACCAGAGGGTTGGTAACAGGGTGGTAATCAATTTCAAATGAATGTATATTTTATATATATGTATATAATTTATAGGGTTTTATTTCTTTATATCTATACAACAAATAAAGTGAACACTGTTTGCCCAATTGCAAATAAGAATTACACACACATTTTTCTTCGATAAATACAATAAGATATATGTATGGTAGGTAACTGGGAGATAATGGAGGTGAAATATTCGTAGACGAAGAGGCGCCTAGGACTCTATCTATATGCACGGTGTGCATATAAATAAATATATAAATAATAAATAAATCACAGTTTTCAATTGATACAATGACATAAAAAAAATAAGAGAAAGAGACAGGAAGAAAAAATTCGAGAGAAAAGCTTAGGCACAATTATTATATCATTAGGGATTAAAAAAAACAACAAATCAAATGGGCAATCAAATGTGAAATGTATGTAATGTGCATGTTTCATTCTGCTTATTAAGAAAGCACATATGTACACAACACACACACTCACACATTGTATATACAGATAACATAATATGTATATATTAACGCCTGGAAACTTATTATTAGAAAAGATAAATAAAAGGGCGTAAAGTCGGATGATAATAATAATAATAACGATAATATTTATGGGTAGGTAGACCACAAATATATATGAACAGTTACGTACTCACTCGCGCGCGCGCGCGAGCACACGCACACACACAGACTAAGATATACATGGACATGATTTATGACAATTGGTATTTCCATCGAGATGTATATTATATAACTAACTACTGCACATCTTGATTCAATAACGTTTAAAATTTACTGAAAATGAAGAATATGTGAAATAATGAATGAATAGATGGTTGAAAAGTAAAACAATCCCCCAAAAAATAGTAAGTAGTATTATAATGGGAAGAAAATGCTCTGAAAAGAAAATGAGTGTAGTAGATGTGAGTACGAGGGATAAGTCGCTCTCCCAGCCACACAGAGACAATGAAATGAAAATGTATAAGTGTGCTCTGTGTATAATATTATGTATGATAGATATACTTACTACTAATACATAGATATTAAAAACGTGTATACTTGTCATCAAGTACTAGGGTGAATAACAACAATAATAGTAATAATAATAATAATAATGAAATAGAAACAATAAACGATATATTATTCAATTGCCGATAGGTGATATTATTTTTAAACCGTGAACAAGGATGAAAGACATTGGTATAATAAACGGGATATCTTGAGGTTTCTGCTGTTTAACAGACTGTAGTTTAACTATAAGATGACTGTGTAATCAATGAACAGAGAATTTATCCCTACTTTTGTGTTCCAATAGGTTTCGCGTTATTTCAGTCGATAAAAACTGCTACGATCTAAATGTGTTGATGGATGCGCTGATTATTATATTATTATTATTATTACTGGAAGTTTTCATCGTCCGTAATATCTCTGTCGTTCATTGAAGAAGACTGTTGTTGTTGTTGCTGTTGTTGTGAGATTAAAGCCTGTGTTAATTCCTCTAAACAAGCCGGAGGACTGCATATACCATATTTTCGTCTAGCTAGAACACGATGTTGTGGCCTTCCACCAGTAGCAGGAGAGGCAACGGTAGTTCCATTGCCAACAACAGGACTAACAACTCTTAACTCGGTAACAGGTACGTTGAATTGAGGCTGAAACAAAGAGAGTAGAAAAAAAAGCATTTAGTTGTCAACACCAAAAAAGTGGAAATTGCAAATCATATGCACAATAGTTAAATAATATGCATCGTGGGTAGACTAGACAAAAGTGACTTCACAAAGTGCTGTCATACACTGGAATAACGTCATTCATTACGTTATTGCGTAATCATCAATAGGATAAAAGTTATTTGTACTGAATTTATATCACAACAATGGGGTTAGCTGATAGACAGACATACAAGAATAACCAGGCGAAATGGTTTTGATTGCAGCCAATATTAATATTTTCTATACAGAACGAATGTATTTTCAAGTATTGGTTTATAGGGATTTGGTTGATTGGTTACAGGATTTCATCATCCTGGGTTCGAACCCCGGTGGGCGCGTACTGCCAAAGAGTCCCAAACTAGGACGAAACAGGTGTCCAGTGCTCCCAGGTTTCCCAATGGTTCTCTAACCAATGTCAGCTCATGATGAAATCCCGTAACCAATGTATTTGTTAAAAGACACGAAATACAACCACAGAGAAACCAACAACACGGAAAAAAGCTCTGTGTACTAGTAAGACGCGAGGCATAACTTTATGCTTAACCAAATTTACTGTACACACATTAGTAGCTCACTCCTAATACTGACTGAAACACTATATTATCCTTTGGACTACTAGGAAAATCGATAGAACCGTTGTTTACTAATTGACAGCTTCAGTTAACCATTCTCACAGTTAAGTGGGTTTTTTATATCAAAAACAAACACCACTGTTGATACTTATCATGATTATGTACATTTCCCCATGCCCCCACAGCTCTATCTTAGAACATCTGATAGATTCCGGACACCAAGGTACACTCCGAACAAACTTCAAAGTTGTCTGGAGAATACGAAGTAGTCTTCCTAAAAGTGTACGAATAAAACTTCTTCACAATGCAGAAGCAATGGCAATTCGCTTGTTAAGTCTTGAACTCTGCATACAGCGGAAGTTCGTTCAATCACTACACTTGAATACCCGACAGGTAAATTCTACTTCTTTTTGTCTCTTCATTAGTATTATTTTGTCTTTTAAATTGTAATATTTTACATTGTGTTAATATCAGACAGGTAAATTCTACTTCTTTTTGTCTCTTCATTAGTATTATTTTGTCTTTTAAATTGTAATATTTTACATTGTGTTAATATCAGACAGGTAAATTCTAACTTTGTCTGTCTCTTTATTCGTATTATTTTGTCTTTTCAATTGTAATGTTCTACATTTTCAACTTTCCTGTTCTCTACCCCCACCCAATTTAATTTCTACACCTCATTACCATTGTTACTGACTTGACCAACGCTCAATTTCTAGTCATTTATGTTACGTCATTCAATTTATTTGCTCAATTTTTCAGTCATTTATGCTACGTCATCCAATCTATTTACTCAATTTTTTAGTCTTTTATGCTACGTCATCCAATTTATTTGCTCAATTGTAGTCCTAATTTAAATGGCATTATTCTCTACCCCACTTCTACTTAATCTCTACCTGTAATTACCTATGTTGCTATTCTGACCTAAGCTGAAACATTTTAGTCAACTATATTACGTCATCTAACTTACTAACTCAATCTTCCTTTAGCTGCTGTCTGATTAACCTTGTTTCTATATTGGATCATTCTTGTATTACCTGATTAATTATCTAGACTTGACAAACCTCGTGTACACACATACACACACAAACAATTGTATATAAATGCTATTGTACAGCTATGTGAATGAATTCGCTGAAAAGAGTCTCTTCGCTGAATGTCTTTTCTTTTTTTCTTCATATTCCTTTTCTCAAACTTCATTTAGAGTGAATATGTATCACAGCATTTTATCCAATGTGATTGATATAGAAGAGTATGATGTTTTGAAACACAGAAATCTCTGTTCATTCAAACACTACATAGATGAGAACTTAGTGATACAAGCAAGTTTGTTTTGCTATTTGTGACCATAAAAAAAACAACTAACAATTAATTAAAATTAATGGATAATTACGGTGTTATATTGGATTTCACGTAATTCAGTTAACAGACCCCCTCCCCCACTTTCTTTTCAATTTCCTTTCATTTACTTGCAACAGTAAGACAAATATCTCTGTATATTTTGAAAATTTTAGGGTGAACTACATATATCGAAACGAAATCAGCACAACAGACACAAGGAGTAATGGGAATAACTGTTTGATCCTTGTTTGAAATCAAATCAAACCTAGAAATAACATCTAAGATGTCCACATTACGGGGGAAATTTTAACTGAGCACAGAAAGTGTAGACGCATTATTGAACACAGAGGCTTATAAATGTTTTCATAGATTATCGTATACTACTTGCAGCAAATCAACGCAAGATAAAACTTGGTTTTCTAGCAGTAAATCCTGGATTAATACTTTGTAGTACTACAGCGGTAGTAGAAAAGGAGAAAAGTTACTTAACTGAATGTGAGAAATGAGAAATAATAGCGACAGAAATAAAACAGTGATTACCAATCATTACAGCAAGTGTATCTGCTAAATTGTCTACGTAGGATATATATATATATATATATATATATATTCACAATATTACAACTTACATTAGGATTATTATACACAGAAGTAGACGGCAGGTCGACACTGTACTCGTCGATATTTACATCATTATCTTCTAATTTATCAATAGACTGTAAACTATTATCCTTATGATAGCTACTATCAACGGAAGCATTGTCGAGGTAGTGATTAAGATTACTGGTTGACTCATCTAACCGTTCTGCAGACGATGAACAACTAGATATCGGAAGATCCATATTCATTGGATTAATAGAAGAGAAGGGAAAAACTGGAGGTAAACTTGAAGGTAGATTCGAATAATCCGTTTCAGATTTGGGCGGTACTGATATAGGCGATGATGGTTGAGGTGATGGAATGGATTTCGGTATCATAACAGAATCTGAGTTATCAATTGCATCTTTTGGATGAGATGTATGCAATACATTTTCATTCTCCTCTGGATTCATGATTGAATAACACGATGTTCTTGGATGATCACAATTGGGCATAATTATTCCAGAATCTGTGATGGGTGTATTAGCTGTGTCAATGTTAAGGTTATGTAGGCGTAATTTTTCACCCAATAAGAGATAAGTAGCTGTTATATGATCGTAGGCACAACGTAGAAGTGACTGAAAAATAAATAAAAAAGTTGGATACAAAATAACAGTGATACTGGGATTAAACTATTTGGCAATTGTCGTTTAGTTAATTATACTTTGGAACTAAAGATAAACATTGTGATGACGTAATATTCAGAAGGGAAACAGGGCTAGTGACAAATATCTCTTTTGATACTAGGCACTAAAAGGCTGAACAGACTTTCATCAACAGCTATCTCCGCTCGACACTGAAGATCAGATGACTGGCCAAGAAAGGATAAATGAAAAAGAAATCTGGCAACAAACTAACAAAGAACCTATGGCTCAGCAAATATGCAGAAGAGATTGGGGATGGAGTGGATATATACCCCGAGACCATTGAGTAACGTCAGGTGCCAGGCCTCGAGTGAAACCCAAATGGCATGTGACGCGTCGCGCTTCCAGGAGTGACATGGAGGAGATCATGCCAGGAGGGAATAAAAAGTTATAAGTAATTATGAAGTCTGTTAATAGATGACTACAGAGAACGGAGTGAAATGGAGATGTGCTGTTGAGGCCTTATGCCCACCATTCGGAACGAAAAGGATGGGGGAATAATAATACAATAGATAAAATATCTATTAAATTTAATAAATAAAAGAGAATAATGCAATACCCAAGGGAATTTAAACGGAAATAATGCGTTGTTGTGGTTGTTTTATATTCGAAAAGAATGTCTGAAAGAATTGTAAGACTTTTAAATTTTGGTATTTAGTGTTGAAAATTATGAGACAACAAGATGCTTTATAAAGCAAGAACAACAAACTCAATGGGATGGAATTGAATTTCAACACATTTTATGTGGTGCTAAATCTCACACAAATGTACAAAATTGAAAATTCCTGTACAATTCAATAATTGAAGATATAATCATGAGCTGACATCAGTTAGATATCATTGTCAAATTCAAATAATTTGATATACTTCAGTGGTACAATCAGCATAAAATAAGTATACATGTATATTTTGAGCGTTTTACGTCGTATTTTCAACAAGGTCTCTGGAGGAGAGGGCGGTACTATTAATTCCCGTAAACCCATTCCCCTCCCCCCAGAACCAGTATCCCTGCTGAGTAGACAACACCAGAGCGACGTTTAAGCATGAAAATGAGCGCCCCATGACAGACACCCCATTAACGCTCCCACAGCGGTAGGTGTTTCCCCACCCCCAGTATCCGGTGTCAACCAAACCATGGTTGCTTCTTAGATGGTACGTACTGCCCCACCTCAGCGGGTCATAATCACTCTCATGATTTGGTCACATAATTGCACTTCCACCTTGCAGGTAGCATACAACCATCATCCTCGGATCAGGGACAATTCTTTAAATCGATATAAAGCCGGCAAGAGCACCTAAAATGCTGACAATCCTCTCACCGGTGGCTCCCCTCCTCCAACCAAGACAAGCATGAATAGGAGATTTAATTTTCTGTAAAATTTCCCCCTACCCAACTCACATTAGCCTACGAGTACATTCCACATCCCGAACCACCAGAAGTTCGAAATGCTTCCTGCACAGAGACAATAGTCATATACACCTCTTGGAGCGGTTGTACAAAAATGTTTAGTCTGATCTAAGAGACTGGGACCCCGGACCGCGGGCGGTTACTCCCACAGCTGCTCTGCTCCCACTATATCATGGGCGGAACCCTGAAGCTTGTGCACCCGAGCAACTGGAGGTCGCGCCACCTACCTGCGCTATATGACCTCGCTCGACGGTTGTAAAGATCTACAACCAGCCGCGGAGACCCACGACCGATCGCAGTCCGACGAAGCCTTAAAGGCCACCATCCGTGAGCAAACTAGTCTCGGACATAATCCCCTCACAGGTCGTTTGAAGGTTCGAATCAAGCTGTCCAGTTGGTATTGGGATACGAGACTCTTCCCAACATCCTTCCCACTCGGTTTTCATGACCGTTCGCAGTCAATGCCCCAGTGCCCCCTAAGACGCCTTAGCACCAAAGAGGATTACAACCAGAACAAAGCCGCTTTCGGCAATCCCAAGGGCAAGAAATAGTTCGCTCTCGTCTTGACAGGATTTAGCTAGGGCAGCCGGAAAACCACCCCACACAGCGGGAACCACGCGGAGATACCTGTCAGTGCAACCATAACCCTTAAGAGAGTCATAGTTAAGTTAAGTATACATATATATTTAACGGAATCAAAATGACATAGTTCATGACCCGATTACTCATCACAAACAGAAGTACAAATCGTTATTTAGATGACAAATCATACTAGAAACTCAATCCATACATATACTGTTGTATAGATGTGCAGGCACTTATTCCATGTTGATCGTACCATTGAAGTATGTGAAATCATTTGTATTCGACAACGATATCTTCAATTATTGTGGGAGATTTAGAGCATTTCAAGTGAAATTGAACTCAATTCATTCTACACTATTTATTGTTCTTGCTTTACGATAAGATGTTTTTAATACAACTATAGAAATTGAGAGATATTATATTATTATTATTCCCTTAGGGTTCCGAGTGGAACATAGGGCTTCAGTGGCACACCCAGATTTCGCTATGTTCTCTGCAGTTTTTTTAAAGCTTGCTCCACAGTTGCTCATAAGCTTTCATTTCCCTCCTCGGGACGATCTCCTTTCTGTGTCACTCTCAGACGCCTGGCTCATCTTCTCACATTCGAGTTCCACTTGAATGGGCTCGGCGCGTGATGTCACCCAACGGTCTCTCTTCGGCATGTTGCATGATCCAGTCTATCGAAATCAGGAATATCATCATTGATGGTAGGAGCAGCTGACTCTTATTCCGATCTTCACTTCAAAAGCTTCCGCTAAGCCTTCCGGTATCAATCACTCGACATATGTCATCATCATTACATAGATTCACTAACAGTAAGCACGAGGCACAAATTGATGCTGAAACAATCCAATGTAACTACTTACACTAAGTGATGGCCTTAGGTCTAAATGTAGAATTTAACTATAAATTGTTTAAACTAGTGAAATAATTTATCAAGGTAAAAACCAACGAAACAAACAACTATTTCATTATAAATTCATAAGCACACAACGTTCTTGAACTGTTTGTTTTCTACACACACACACACACACTCTCTCTCTCTTTTCATCATGATGAATGCGTCAGACATTTATTTAGCGAGTTTACTAATTTAATGATCAAATAATAATAATTATAATAATAATAATCAACGCACAAATTCATAGACAGGTGGTCAACTTGTTTTTTCAAAGCATTTAAGGTCAACGATGTCACAGGTATTTATTTTATTACAATAAGACAACGTACGTGTACAATGACTAAGTTTGCATTTCAGTGTAACACACTGTTGATCATAGAGATGAAGTAATAATAAAACAGATGACAATTTTACATAAAGGTGGACATGTACTACCACCAATCTTGATTTTTTCTCGCTCAACTACTTTATGTGTAGACGCACGCAGCATAATATTAGTAGTAGTAGTGTAACAACAGAAGACAAGGGCCAGGCAACAGATCGTTTATTAAGGAAAATCAACACATATTTATAGATTCTAATGTACATTATTGTAGATTATTGTTAGTAGAAAATACAGTCTTTTGATTGGTTGTTTCTCACAGAAAGTTAACCTTGCATCTCTTTGTGGCTGTGTCAGATCATCCGTATGCCTACTGTATCTGCCTACGCAAAGCCTACGTTCTCATTTTCTCACCACCAATATTGGGGACATAAACATTGACGTCAATGACTGTCTACCAACTTTGGCTAGCAGCCAGCTCTCACCACAGTAGTATCTACAATTTACTGTCATTATTATTATTATTTTTATGATTTCTGTCATTTTTCTCATCTTGCGTTGTTGTGTAGAGTGCACAGAGGAATAGATAAACTTTAATGTGAAATTCTACTTTAAATGTTCTGAATACGTGCACGCAGTGATTCAGATGACGTAAAGTGCTAGAAAACCAATATGGCATTCGGTTTGAGTGCCAAAAATATACCACCATGTCTGACCACAGATTGATATCAGTTAGAGAATCATTGAAAACTAGACGGGAGTACTGTAAAGCTGTTTCGTCCTAGTTTGGGACTCATCATCAGTACGTGTACAGCTGTACATTAATCCCTTCTAGTTTTCAATAGTTCTCTAACTGATATCAAGCCATGGGATCAAGATTGAATTAAATCAAATCCCTACAAACTAACTGTTGAGAATATTACCAATCATCGTCTGTGCATCGCGATCGATACAAAATTTTTTGTTCTGGTATAACCAAAGAGATATATGTGTGTTCAACTACTACATCAGTATGAACTATTTCTAAAGTAGGTTATTTTATCACTTACTTACTCACGAAGTGAGAAAAATACATGATAATTTCACATTATTGTGCACAGCTCAAGGTTGAATGAATACATAACTACTAGCTCATGTCAACGAGAATAATAATAATAATTGAGAAGCTATAGAGCAATAAAACAATCCACAATGTGTCAGATTTACAAGTCTGCTTGAGAGCAAAGGTGAAATACAAATCTATGTGATAATAAACTTCACATAGCATATGATGTAATAAGCCTATTGAACAACTTATACAACACTGCTTTAGACTTGAAATTCACATTGATTATAAATGCCAAATGTATAATAATAATAGTTATTATTGTTATTATTATTATTATATTATATGGCTATGAGGCTTCATAGAATTATGCCCTGGTCATATAAATCTGATACAAATTAAAAAAAATAGTGACGAAGATCACATACGCGTGTAGGAGTGCTAGCCAAATTTGACGTAGAGAGTGGCGTTAAATATATGATTTTTAATAATTTTATTTAATGTTTAGACTACTCAGATACGTAAAACGATAAAATGATATTGTGCTAATCCAAAAATTAATTTTTCGTTTTATTTTATATATGCGCCATCACGCATATTTCAGCAATAAAGTGACCATTTAATCTATAACGTAGTTTATTTATAATTACGCAGATACAGTAAAACTTCTGTAGTATGTTCTGAAAAGTCTATTCGATGAGGTTGTGTGATTGGGATGGCTAGGGCTAAGTGGTGTGCATACCGAACCATCATATTCCTCGACAAGCAATGCTAGCTGACGTAGGATCGATGAGGTTGCAAAAGAGCTAGTAGTGGTCAAAACAAAACATGGTATCAGTCCATGAAGTCGTTGACAGTTCGTCTGGCCTACACACACACAGATGCAGACTGCATGGTTGTGGTGCACGAAATGCTAAGAACCAATGGCTGTAGACTATTTTGGTGACATGGCACGAAACTGTTCTCAATGCTACAGATGCATTCATTACTTTGAACCAATCAAATACATTAAACGCTTATGTTTTTTTGTGATACTGTTCTGCCTCCCGTATATTTCTTTGATATTTGTGTTAGGTCAGTCTACATTTAGCATTCAACAGGGTGGCTTACCTCAAAGTCAAGACAGTGTATTTCTTAATCACCCGAAAGGTTCACATATATTTTGTCAATTAAAAAAAACAGCACTTATGCTCATACATCCAGAGAAATAGATTTAAATATTTGAGAAACCTACACTACTTTCTGACAACAATTTCCTGTTTCTTTTAACCCCTCTTATTTTTATTTGCATAATATTTAAAATATATATTTAGTAACTTAATTCCCAACAACAAAACAATTCCCTTAACTCACTTTGAGAATTTGTGTACGACACATTCCATACGACTCCATGATCATAATAACCAATTCGTTTAGCTTACCGACCTTTACAAAGTAAATGAAAACAAGAAAATTATTACGTATTATGTTAAAAGTAGAACTAAGACAGTTAAGAATTATCTTCCATATACTTAGATGAAAGAATTGTTAATGGAGATTAGCTATCAACATAAAACCTGACAATTATGACTAACACTCTGAGGTTGCTATTGTTCAGAAAGAAAATGAGATTCACATTTTGAAACTCCACTGTGATATTCACTAGATATATAATACTATAGAATTTATGTTCTGTGACTCAATGTCTTTTGTAATGGTTAGAGGATTTCATCATGAGCTGAAATTATCAGTCACAGAACCATTGGAAAACCTGCAGGGAGTACTGGACAGCTGTTTCTGTGGTCCTAGTTTGGGACTCTTCAGAAGTACACACCCACCCAACCGGGTTCGAACCTAGGACCTTCTGGTTACAAGACCAGCTAGCTCGTAGACCATTAAGCCACTGAGACCCGATCCAATGGTCAGTCCATGAATTCTAACTTCTGCCAATTCATGACATAGCGCGACCACTTCGCAATATCTTCTTCAATGAGTTACTGCCTCACCTTCAAACTGCTGCACCCTACTGGTCACGGCTTTCCACTAGAACCCCAAGTTAACTGCCTGAATAGGGCTAGTCGCTAGTGAGCATCAGATTATTTGTAATGATTGTTTCTGAAATTACGCTGGATTAGGCACTGTGTAAAAAACATATAAACGCATACACATATTAGCAGTTTAATTCGATTCCGAACAAAAAGAGAAGAAGTAACGATATTAATCATAAAAAAAGGATTAAAGGAGGACAATATAGTGAAGCACTACGTAATTTAACAACAACATAATTAGTATCATGCACTCAGTTAAACACTAAGATGACAGCTTACTCTCATTTCAGCAGCTAGATTTGGTCCAGGACTTTGTAAATCATCTTTACTCCATGAAAATTTCGATGTACAATCACAAGAACAATGTTTCAAAATAAACATTGGTTGAATTAAATCACACTCAGTTGATTTGTTAGAATTTTTTGTATTACCAGGAGGATTAGGAGCTAATATTTGTCGTTTATGCAAATTATTCGGTTGATTATTTAAATGCATTGTGGCCAATGAATTAGACATAACATTTGCAATATTCTTTTCACGGTAACCGCTACTATGAATTGTTGATGATGTGAACCATGGAAATTGACTAATACGTTTAGTATTTGGACGTTCACTTGGTTCTCTAGACAGCATACTACGTATAACTTGTTCACATGCTATAAAATAACAAAGACAAAGAAGAACAAATACTTGTTTAGCTGCATCATATGAAAACAATAAACTCTTTCTCTCTCTCTAATAAATTGAAACCAAGACCGCCGAAAAGTATCTACCTAACTCAGACAAGTTGCCAAAATCTGCCTTGATCATTATCATCTTTTGATTTGATAAATATAGCCATTTCTTAGGGAAACTATTGACTACTTAAACCCGGAAAAATATACCATCTATAAAGACCAGGGTGGTGAGAGCTGTCTACTAGCCAAATTGGTAGACAGTAATTTACGTCAATATTTACGTTCCCAAGATTTGTCGTGAGAAAATGTGAACAAGGATTGATTCAAAACCGACCACAGCAGACTTTACGTAGGCGGATGCAGTTAACATATAGAGGATTTGACATTCAAGAAACAGTCACAAACAGATGAAAGATTAACTTTACGTGAGAAACAACCAATCGGAAGACTGTGTTTGTTTGCTTAAATATCCATAGTAATGTACATGAAAATATATAAATATGCGTTGATTTCCTTAATAAATGATCTCTTGCCTGACTCTTGCCTTCTGTCGTTACACCAGAAGTATTCACACGAAATAAAACAAACAAACAAAGGAAAAGTAAACAAAGGATACTGTAGTTGTACATTGAAATCACCTGACGGACATCAGAATCCCACCAGTGTTTGAAATCAGTTATTCGGCGGTTCAGTGGTGGACTATTCGACAGCCACACGGGAGATGTGGGTGGGATTCTTAGCCAACACAACACTCCTAAACTGCGCCTAATTTACTGGTGGGTAAAATGCCCGGAAAATAGGGAAGGTTGGGGGGCATGAGGCTACCAACCTCACTCACTCCTGTTTAAACAATAACATCGCCAAGTTAAGCTCAATATTCCGCTTTGGATGCAAGGGTTAAAAAAAGAACCGCAACAAGTATTTTGTACTGCAGGATATGAATCGTATTTATTGTGTGCGGGCTGACGAAACTATCCAGTTGTTGCTCAGACTGAAGTAAGTTCAACGCTAAATCCTACTGATTTGATATAGTTAGTTCTCAGAAACCGCCTTTCTAACTGTCTGAAGAAGACATTTCCAACAGCCATCTCACGTATCACATTCTCCAGCAGACAGTTAATCCAGTCTAACATTAAGGATAAGATACGGCTTTTGGCCACTATAATGTGTATTTATCAACTTACTTGCTCGTGTGGAGCAAAGTATATCGGCCGTACGCAACGTCAAGTCCACAAACGTATTCTAGAACACTGCCCAGCTTGGTTATCCAGAGGAGAAAAGAAGAATAGCAACAGCTCGATACTCGAACACCTGGTCATCTCCGGACATCGAGCACCCTCGCCTGCATGAATGCTTCACAGTGTTACACAGAGTCCCTCAATATCGTACAAAGGGACTTCGGATGCGCCATCTGTAAATAGCTGAAGCATTAGCTATTCGAGATCTGAAACCGGACCTCTGCATTCAAAAGCGATACATACATTCTTTTGCCCTACCATGGCCAGAGTAAAGTTCTTACTACAATTTCGCTTCTTTCCTTTATTATGTAAGTTCACTATTATTATTATTATTATAATACTTTTATTATCATTATTATTCCCATCATCCACATTTTATTACCACTCTATTACTGTTTATTAATAACATTGCTTTTTCATACAGATTTTATACAAAAACACTTTATAGTCTTTCCACTAGTTCCTGTCCATTCTACACGAGCTTATTGATTATTCATTATCTCACACTTATTACGTCATGCCAACTTCTGTCTCCTTTCTAACTTACAATTAGTCATCCCTTCTTAAACCTTACATTATGTAATACAATTTTTCAAGGACAAAGTTTACCAGTATCTGATTGGTCTAAAGATGTCTTTGTTAATTATAATTACGATTGTACAGCTCATGAAAATGAATCGTCGAAAAAGAAAATTTTCTTCGCTGTTTGTGCCTTTTTCTTATGATTCAATATGGGAATATTTCGTCCAGTTATGAATTTGTTAAACGAAAACAACGGAAATAACCGAAAATATAGCTAATAAGCAAGTTATTTACAAAAGGATGATATATTTCTATATGTGTATTTGATTACCAGTAATAGTTTCTATGCAAGCAGAAGATGGACAGTTTCGATCATATTTAAAAACAAATACACGGAAAATGATGTTGTTGTTGTTTTTTATCAAAATGTCCTGAAAATATATCAAATCTTGAAAAAAATTTCCAATATTTTACTTTATTCTAAGGGGGATTAGATAAATACCTAATTATTGTATAAATTTTATTGATGATTGAATAAAAAAAACACTGAATACAAACGAAGCATACCTACCTACACCCGCCTACACACATAATAAATTGATGTGGATCTCTGTGGGAATTTTGTACAACTTTTAATGTCCTAAAATTAAACTAATATAAACATCATCTATCACCGGATAACGTGTATAGGAATTTGAATACAAGTTCATTTAACTGTTAATGTATTATTTAAATGATTACATTGAAAACAAAAATTCTATTGAGCTATATGACTAAAAAGGAATAGAGTAATGATATTGAGAATATCGTCATCTTTTGAAGTAGTGTGGCTTCTACTGTTAATGAACAACACCTTCAAAATAAAATGTTCATTATATCAAATAAATAAAGGATATAAGCGTCCACTGTAGACGAAAATTCCATACATATTCAGTAATTATTATTATTATTGAATTACTGTTTCCTTTAATTCCTAGAGGAACATAGGGCTTCAGCCGTGCGTCTCCATTGCGTTCGGTTCTCTGCTAGAGTTTTCACCTGGCTCCAAGTCTGCTCACACGTTTCCATCTCCTCTTCACATGACCTCCTCCAAGTCACCCTTACACTGACGACCAACTCGCCGCTTTCCTTTCGGGTTCCACTCGAGCAAGGGCTTGTCTAGTGATGTCACTTGATGGTTTCCTCAGAGTATGGCCAATCCATCTCCATTTCTTCCTGCCTATTTGTTTCACAATCGGTTCCTGGTTGGTTTGCTCATTGCCAGAGATCTCTATTGCTGATCTTTTCTGGCCGACCATCTGATCTTGAGTGGTATTGAGCGAAGACAGCTGTTGATGAAAGTCTGTAGTTTGCTTGAAGTGCCCTTCGTGACACGCCAAGTCTCTGATCCGTACAGTAAGTAGCACTGACTTCCTATTGGAGTTGAAAATCCGGATCTTATTTTTCATACTGAGTACTGTTGATTTCTTACTGACAAAAAATACACGAGTGTCTTTACGAAGATTTATGAAACTGTAAACTTCAAATGACGCTACATGAATTAAATACGTTTAGGAAGAGAACCCTGGAAATCAACGAGTTGTTTATTCTTCATCAAATGATGCTGCTTAGGACTAAGTTTTCGCTTCACCAAGAATAATGTTCTCCCCCCCCCGCCCCCATTAAAATCCCACAATGTTATAAAGTCAACAGTAAGAGCTTAGATAACGCTAGCATTAACCGACTGTGAATGCATCCAGAAAGTTTTGAGGTCACATACAAATGCAAAACAAAAGTCTGCATGAACTAGAATCTGGACATAATTATTGAAATGCATTTTTCAATTACTTCACAATACGTCAAGTATTTGTTTACAACACTGTTAATAACTACATAAAAAGATGACGTAAAAAGATTGCATACGTGAACAAATTACCAAAACTGACTATTCAATATTTTTGACTGAGATGATAAACAATGATATACGTAGTCGAATTCTGATAACAAATATAATCTAGTGTTGTAATTCAAAACAAAGGTGAATGAAAAGTTCTAGTAGATAGAATCTTAACAAATCAAGTTAGTCCAATTTTTTTAACTGGAGGACAAAGAAGACAGAAAGAAGTATGGCTTGAAAGACATCTCCGCATGAAAAAACAAACAAACGCTAATTTGAGTTGTAACAACAAACAATTTCACGGACTATTAACTACGAGTAATATCGTTTTCCTCATTTTGCAATAAATGCATATATATATATATATATATATATACATCAGCTGATAACTATGTTGATATGGGGAAAGAAAATAGCCAATCAAAATGAATTAAACAAACAGAAATCATTGTCTGTGTATGTTGTATATACTTTTGTAGGCGTACACAACCACACATAACTTAACATAGAAAGACATTATACGCAACGTATATACTCTGTTAGGACAAACACACACACACACACACACACAGTTGTGGACGTCTACATCACAAATACGTAATCAAAACACATGTGATTTCGTGCGCAGGGCGAACATAGTCGTATATAGTCGATAACAAAATCTGGAATTAGACAAATGATATCAGCAAGAGACAAAAACAAAATGAAACGAGAGACAGAGAGAAATGATAACAAAACACCCACTAAGCTCTTACGTCATAGCTGTATAACTCGCTTAACAGAAAGCGTGTTTATACCTGAGACATATATATATATATATATATATATATATATATATATATATACATATAATGCACTAAAAATCGGAAAACCGCATAATACCTGGGAAACAGTAGTGAATAATGGCGAGGATGGAAGCATTCACAAATTAAATCAATTCAGATTGAATGTATAAAGGATAAATGAAATTCGGCGACAACTATCTGGCATGTGTATGCCTACACATACGTAGGCAGCAGTTATATTATGCGTATATATTATTTACCAGAATAAAAAGTAGGATTATCCATTATTTAGTACGATTATGGGTGTTACACGGAATGGTAGGTAAGTAGAAGCATATTTAATAATGCTAAGGGAAATACTGTTAACAATTTCAAACCGTTAGAACGATTAGACCATTGAGTAATTTACTAGAGACAATGGTATAAAATAGTCAGTAGAATTTTCTACTTGGAATCACTTTTTGCCAGTTGTCTTGGAGATACAGTTCAACAGTATAACGAAACCCTTCATATCGCTATGTGGTACAAAAGAGTTAGTCACATTACAGAAATGTTACA